AATACCTAGAACACTATTTTTATTTTATTATTATTTTTACTACCAATTTTGCATCAGAGAATATTATTACTCATTGTAGTTAGGTAAAAACTAATGACACAAATCAGATGCTGGTTCTAAAAATCTAAGAGGGTTATGACATGAATTTCAAAGACATCTGGAATCCTCATTTAGAATAGACTAAAACAGAAAGGCCCATTAGAGCCAGCTTCAGGGATGTATGATCTGTATAGGAGCCAGTGCTTAGAAGGGTCCATTGCTTGGGTTAATGCTCTACTGTTGCCATTTTAAAATTCTTAATAATTTGTGAAGAAGGGGCTTCTATTTCCACTTTACACTGGGCCCTGCAAATTATGTACCTCGCTCTGAGGCTAAGAGAAGACAATAGTCCTCAGCTTCTACTCACTGTCCAAGGATATAAGCAGAAGATGGAATGCCCAGAAAGGCAGACAGAATTTCCTCCAAGGTAAATATCCCGATCCTTTTTCCATTCTCTTCTTGCCTGGCGGCAAGCGAAGAAACAGCAGCAGTGGGCTACTGTTCACTACTCCAAATGTAGCCTAGCTCACCAGAAGTGGCAGGGCCACCTGGAAGCTTGACAGAAAAGCAGAATCAGAAACCACTCTATATCTCCCAGATCTGATTTTGCATTTCCCGGGCACATTCAATTCTGAGAAACAGAGCTGTGCTGTTCTGAGAATCATCCGTGACGCCTGTGATAACGGACACTTGAAGTTGCCCTTTTTCCTTAAAGGAGAGTTTTTTCCTACCGTCCACCAGAAAATCTTTAACCTGAGATGTTGCCAGACTGAGACTGTCAACTGATGTGAGCATTACTTTTGTTCCTTCTGCAGTCCATTGTCTAGGATTGAATTAATATGACGTGACATGGTTTGAAAAAATAAAAATAAAAGTAAGGAGAAGAATGTGCAAAGAATGGGTTATTATGAACTAAGCTGAACAGGTGGAAAACCATGTGATAATAAAATGGAAAAAAAAAAAACCCAGCTACCTTAAAAATAAAATAAATAGCTAACATTGAAAACTTAAGACGTGTCAGCCTTCTTATACATTATTTTACATGAATTATTTTACTTAAATTTTATCACAAACTTAAGAAGTAAGTTCTTCCTTTGCAAATGGAGAAACAGGCCTCAAGAGTTTTGAAATGGCATGATAGATTAAGAAAGTGTGCATAAATTTCACAACTATACATTTTTGTTACATACTTATAAACATCTCCTGGATGAATGCTTCCGTGTGAATTGGCACACTATCTCAGAACTAGGTCTTGAAGGGTAAAGAGCAAGGCAGAAAGAAAAAACAAGATGAAGGATTGAATCCTTCAACTGGAGATAAAAGGCAGAAAAATAAAGGACTTAATTCTGAAGGTTGAGATCACACAGAAGTTTGTATCTTAGCATTACTGAACAAAGAGTGGCTCTCAGGCTTCTAAGGAGTGGCTGGGAGGTGAATCTCGAAAGCACGAGGTCAAGTGCCCGATGGTTCCAAAAGGAGGAGGAAACACACAACGCAAAACCCATAAGCACCATCAGCAAGAACCTCAACAGCTGCCAGTTCACTACATTTCCAGGTACAGAGCAACCCGACCCAAACGAGAGCCGGTCTCCAGGACCATGCACCCCGCTGGGCTCCTTCCGCCCCTCAAACCCGGGGAGGGGGAGGAGCCGCGGAATCGAAAGAGAAAACGGCCGGGGCTGGCGGCGGAGCCGGGGCGCGAGGATGGAGCTGCGGTGGCTGCTCTGGCTGCTGTGCTGCGGGGGCGGCGGCGGCACGGGCTCCGGCGCCACCTTCACCCCGACCTGGCCGCGGAGCCGCGAGCGAGAGGCGGCCGCCTTCCGGGTACCGAGCGCGCGCCGCCCTGTGTCTGTGTCCTCGTCCCTCCCTCCTGTCCCGGGTCTGGGCTGGGGAAGGGGGGTCACCGATAGCGGACGCTCCCAGTGGCCCCCTGGCCCGCGGTTCTGCGATGCGCCTGGGGTTCTGAGCTGCGTGTACACAGAGAACTCACTGTTCTCCCTGTGTCAGAGTGTCGCTCTCTCCAATGCCTCTGCTAACCGAAAGATTTGATTTTCCAGAGATTTGTCGCTGTGGATTTATATGATGCGTCCAAAGTAATCAGTAGATATGTCCAAAGTATTCTTTTTTAAAATTTCAGAATATTACAGGGGTACAAACGTTTTGGTTACATGAATTGCTTTTGCACAGTCCGAGTCAAAGTTGTAAGTGTGCCCATCCCCCAGATAGCAGGCATTGTACCCGATAGGTGTGAATTTACCCGTCCCCTCCGTCCCCTTCCCACTTGCTTGGTTTGAAAATATTCTTGATGCTAAGAAGCATCCCCTTTTAAAAGTCCCCTTGACCCTTCCTTCTGGTTTCCAAAGCTGTTCTATTTCACATTTATAATAACCAGAAATAGGGTGCAGCCTGTTGGCGGGAGAAACCTACCATTTTTCTTCCCTAGGGGGCGCCGGTAACCTTCTTCTGCGGTCAGAACTTCATAACAAGAGCCTGCCTTTAGCAAACTCAGAGATTCCTAATGGTGAATAATTTTCCTGAAATGGGGCTCCTTAAATTAATGCACCCAGTTAAAAGCTGTTTCTGACTTGGTGGAGACTGATTTAGAGAAAAGAGAAGCATTTAATTTCCTTTTCAGATTATTTGGGAAAGTCTTCATCATAATGCTTAGATTTTACTCTAGCATTAAAATTTTGAAAAAGGCCAGTTAGCTGAGTATGCATGGGTTTTTCCTGAAACCAAGGGAACTGCAAGGGATACAGATTTAGAGTTTGCCTCACTATGTTCTATATATCTGATACTATTTAACAAATTTTTAAAAAGTCATAAATCATGATTTAATTTATTATAAAAGAATTCATTCATTCTGATTAAAGAATAAGTCTGAATGCTAGTAGTATTGCTCATTGGAAGTGTATTTTTCTTCCTATTATGTTGGAATTCTCATGAGATTCTTTAGTTGTGCAATTTTCTACTCTTCTTCTCTCCCCTGGAAAGTTCCAGTGTTTAGGAAGTCCATCCTTTTCTGATTCTGTCCACTTTTATTTTTTTGCCCAAACCAAGATGTGTATTTTTTTAATCTCCACTTTGTTACTGTTGAGTTCAGTTCTCACTTTCAAAACCAGAGGCACTGGTCCACTCCCTTGAGAGCAAAGTTTCTGGTCTCTATTCCACCCTGTCTTGAACTTGGTTACATTTCCTGGTGAACCATACCCCTCAGGGGAAAATACTCTCACCTCCACTGGTAATGTATTCATTGGCCAAATAAAGAAACACACTGCTGTGCTCCTCAAAAATATCATCTTTAAGGATTGGAAGCTCAGGGGGTTGAAAGTTATAAATATATTTTTAACATATATTTTCTATATAATTTATAAATATGTGTGTGTGTGTGTGTGTATATATATATATATAATTTCTATAGTGACTTCTAATTGGTCCTGTGAAGAGGCCATACCCAGGAGATGAATGTCTGGAAGATACAACTCTTCTTAGGAGAAATAGAAGGATCCAGGTTGGAAGATGGGAAGTTGTGCAGGAGGACAGAATTATGTCAGTACATTTAAAAAACCCTGGGCTAAGAGAGACTGCGAATGTTTTCAAAGGAATTGCTGCTAGTAAGAGTTTGCTTCATGAGCTGGATGCGCAGAAAGGAGAGCAGTTTAGGCTTCAAAGTTGCTGGAAACTGTGAGCGACTTAGCACTTGGCTCCAGTTAGTTCTTTGGGCCTGGGGTAGAGAGCTGGACACTGGGCAAGATGAAAAGGGCCTTGCTGCCTTGGCAACCAGGAGCATTGGGAAGAATTTTCCTGGCCTTGCAGGATGATTGAAATATGTGATAACTGAATCTCAGTCCAACTCTAGAAAACTTTTATCTTTACAAAATTACAGTAGTCCCCCCTTGTCTGCGATGTGCTTTCCATGGTTCCGTTACCTCTGGTAAAGTACAATAAGATATCTTGAGAAAAAAAGAGAGACACCATATTCACATAACTTTTATTAAAGTATATTATTATAATTGATCTCTTTTATTATTAGTTATTGTTAATATCTTACTGCACCTAATTTATAAATTAGTTATCATAGGTATGTATAGGAAAAGACATGTATATATAGAGTTTGGTACTAACCACGGTTTCAGGCATCCACTGGGGAATCTTGGAAGGTACCTCCCACCCCCTGCAGATAAGGGGGAACTATTATATGTCAAATAACGATCGGTTGCGTTGAGACTTTCCACTGTTTACCTATCAGGTAAATTATGTACAGAATCTAAAAAATTCCTTTGCTCCATGATGAAGTAGAGTTAAAAAAAAATAAAGTTTTAAAATTAAAATAGAGTAACAAGGCACTCTGTGTTGTGCTAGAGAGAACAAGAAAAGTTGATAAATACTTTGGACTAAGAGCTATAGTCTTTTGATCCTGGTATCTTATTAAGGGATAGCAAATAGGTGTCATCATGTTTGCAAACTGATTAATCAATAGTGGCTGCCAGAAACATGATGTTGAAAGTATTGAGGGGGATTGCAGCTGGAGGCCCAGTTGTAGAAAGTGCCTGATTGATTAATGGTTTTCATGGCCACAGGTTGAGAGAACTGTGAAGGTTTTTGCAATCCCAGCCTTACGTATTTCTGTAAATTCTCCCAGAATATTCCTTAAATGAAAGTTAGGCGGCACCTATGACACTTTCCCACAAACTTTCATTACATTATTGCTCAGTGAAGACCAGATTCCTCCATGGGTTATTATGGGATGCTTTGCAGGATACCTGACAGGGGAAGGCAGGGGTAGCAACCCTTCTCTCTGCCCTTTCGATCCTTCAGAAACTTCCAGTACTCAGGAAGCTCCTAACTGTTGGATTTAGCCTACTCTCCTTTGTGCCAAAACCTAAGTGTGCACTCGTGTTAACTATTGCTCATTACTTTATGACAGAGCATTTGGTATTTTTATCCTTTTGGGGGCCACAGACCCAATATTGGATCTAATAAAAGTTGCATGTACTCACTTCAGAATAATGTTTCTGAACCGACACACGTGATTTTCACATAAGATTTCAGAAATTTCACCTTAAGAACACTTGCCATAATGAGACAGGCTACATTTTTATAAATTATTTATACATTTAGGAATATTCTCCTGTGTATAAGTAGATGATTATAGCATCTTTGTAATGAGTGATCTTAACTAATGAGCCACAGATATGTCATTAGGTATTGCCATAATCATCCTCTAGATATCTGGATTATGTCCTCCAAATGAACTTTATCCAAGAATGCTTTAAAACTTATTTTCTACCTAACATAAACATAAGGAAGTGAATCTGATGTTAGACAATGTTGTTCAGCAGACTTTTTCTGATGGTTCTTGCTTAAAGCATATATTGACTAAATGGAAATACATTATAAACTTTAAATCTTAGACCAGAATTTATTCATTGTCCATCTTCCCATCCATTTATCTAATACTTTATTTAATATTTACTGTGTATAAGGAACTGATCTACATTTTCTGAGTGATACAGTGAAGAATAAGAAATGTGCTGTGCTCTAAAAAATTATAGTCTAATTAATGAATACTGTTATGTCTGCACATTTATTATAATCCATTTCCTGGTAAACAAAAAGAAGAATGTAAAGACTTGTACACTAGAAAAATAGATTTCCTCAATCAATTCACAAAAGAATACCTATTTAATTCAATCTTTTTGTGTACATATGCACACAAATATTGACTAAGCATTTCTTATTATTTTACTTTGCATAATAAGTATATATCTGCATTATTTTTGTACAAACTTCAGTACACCATATATAAAATGCTTTGTCTAAGAAACTTTTTGAAAGCAGTAATTTATAAAAGTATATGCTATGAAAAGTTTTTATTATTCTAATACAAGACTTCTCACCAGTGGCACTCTTGACATTTCAGAATGGATAATTGTTCCTTGTGGGGCCATCCTGTGTATCGCAGGGTGATTGTCAGTGTGCTGGGCCTCCACTCACCAGATGCCAGTAGCATCCCCCAACTGTGATGATTCCCAGTATGGCAAATAAAGGATAAAATTATCCTCAGTTGGGAACCACTGATCTAAGGATTACAACTCCCAAGTCTTCAGAGAAATTCTCAGCATTGCTCCAATATTGTATACAAATACTTTACCTTTTTTTGCTCATCTCTGGATTTACTGCAACTTCCAGAAAGTAAAGCATTCCCAAGGAGAACATTTTAAATCCGTATGTAAACTTTATGATTTATCCTAAACCAAACTTCAGAACCTGCAAACGAGGGCTGTTAAGAGAAAAGTGTTAAGTAACAGAACTGAAAAACAAACAATGAGTTTAAGGTGCTGGGAAAAAAGTGATCTTACAAAATATGCTTCTCTGGTAATGTCAATATAGAACTTACCCCATGGATGCGTGGGGTTCGTCATCAGGGATTGCACACATCATTGCATATCTTGGTAAGTGCAAAATAAATCACCATTAATAGAAAAAAACCTAGATACCAATGGGGAAAAAATACCAAATTCTCACTGCGTTCTCAGCTAATAAAATAGACTTGAAGTCCCTTAAAGTTTATATGCCTTATGCAGGTTTCCCATGGCCTGAACAACTACACTCTTCAACTAAATACTAGTGTCAGGTTTTAGTCTGAAAATGTCGGTTCTTGGAGCACCCATGGCCGAAGAATGACCAGACATGCCAAAGTTAGGCAAGCACCAAAATGAGGTTTATTGAGGAGACAAGGATAGGATTATAGGGCAAGAACAATATATAGGTTTATAGAGCATGATACATATGCCACAGATGACGACCAGACCCATTGTTGC